GTCAGGGTGTGGCCTAATATGCTAATGGGTTTTGCTGTTGGGTGTGGCCTATTATGCTAATGAGTTCCTGCTGGGCTTTTTCTACAAAAAGAGCCCTGCTGTCTTCATTTTTGAATCCAGTTTTAGAAATAGCATTCCAGTTATAGAAATCCAGTCATAGAAAAATATATTTATAGAAACAAAGTTTCTCTGTTTCTTTTCGGATTATATTTAAACACTTTAGCTGTAATCCAAAACAGAATTAGATGCAAGACCACTGAAATAAATGAGTTAAGTCCTGTCTGTGTTGAACTGCGATCTATTCTTTTTAGGCCCCGGTCACACGGGCCAGATAACGCGGGGGTGAGGTGTGGCTGTTTGCCCCGGGGCAAAATAAAGCGCGTTAGCTCGATCACATGGTCTCCCAAATATTCGCGCTGTGGCAGGAAGCTCGCGATCACACGGCGATGCTGGAGCCGGCAAAGAAGCCGCGCGGCAAGCGTTCCGTGTTTGTGCGCATGCACAGTTCCGCGGAGCAGCACTGCTTCCAGTTTATTGTTCGTGCACATGCGCTTAGGGAAACCATCTGGTTTGCGATGGGATTCGGATGGGCGCCGGAAGCCACGGGATACTAGCGCTCCCGCGATCAGATGCCCGCCCCTGCCCCGCGTTTTCCGGATACTACTGCACTTTCCTAGGTAGTTTTTACTGCGCATCTTTGGCGGGATGCCACGGGTTACCCATGGGTGTGCTATGCTTTCCAGATGTTGCGGTGTGATTGCACACCGATAAGCCGCCTGCCATTTGTGCCTTCCTCCATGTGAACAGGGCCTTAGTTTGTTTGGTGAAAGTGTGGTGTAGTGGTTAACAGGGTTGGACTAGTATCTGAAGGATTATTTAGGTTAGCATAGTGCTCAAGACACATAATACAGCAGAGTCAACTCCGGCAGATGTCCTGATGAGGCAGCCATGGTCTCAGGAGCGGTGCGCGGTGCGGTGCGGTGCTGTCTTGAGCAGGCTCACTCATCAGGTCCCATCCTTGTCACCAGTGAAATATACTGGGTTCAACACGCGTTAGTGATCAGCTCATGCTTTATTGTGATAACAGCTCAAACTCAAGACAAAATAGCAGGACCGGAACCCTACTTAAATTTGCACCCAACACCACACCCCCCCCCACACACACACTACCCATGATAGGTTATTTACAGAGGCACTCCTGGGTGATAGGTTCGTCCCAGGATCCTAGCAGTCTATTGTTCTTTGACTCCAAGCTGGTCTGACAAGGTTAGGCTTAGTACACAACACTACACATCAAAGGGATAGCATCAGAGCACTAGAAAGGAAGGATTATCAGTGTCCTAGTTTATCTACCTCTCTGACTCTCTATAATCCTCCTCTGAAGTCTGAGGCTAAGAGACAGTGCAAAGAGACAGTGCAAAGCCTTTCACTTCTAACAGTATCTGGGAGACCTGGGTTCAAATCCCCACATTGCAGAAAAATCTGAAAACTAGGTGGGGTTGGGTTTAGAGGTGGTTAAAAAAACATGACACAGGAGGCAAAAACGGTGTTCAGGTGGCATTTTAGATCGCTTAGCTACTCAGGATGGTATCTAGGGCTGCCAAATCCCCCCCCCCGGTGCGCGTGCCGTATCTACATCACCCGGATGTGACGTCGCACGCTGGGGGCGGGGCCACAGCCATTTGAGAGGAAAACATAGAGTTTTCCCCTCAAATGGCTGTGGCCCCGCCCCCAGCATGCCCGACGTCATCACATCACATCCGGCTGACATGCGTGCGCGCTGAGGACGCCGAACGGGAGCCCCCTGCCACGAGGTAAGAACGATTTGGCAACCCTAATGGTATCTAACATTATGCGGTCCTACTATGCAAGAAGGGCAGGAGAGGACACAGAGGTTCCAAGGAGGAGGGGAGAGGAAACTCATGGGCCTTTTAGCCCTGAGCCACCCCAGTGTGCTAGCTGGCAGAGTCATCTGGCTGACTTGGAGTTGACAGAGGGTTGGGGGGGGGGGGAGCACACAAATGGAGGGTTGACGACAAAAAGGGAAGGAAAAAGACAACAGGGGGAATAGTATTCCCTCTCCCAACCGAAAGTTCTTGCAGGTAGATTATGCTTTAAAGGTGAATTGGGCAAGTTTTGACTCACATGCCAGGTGGCAGCCCATCCATCCAACTATTTATTTTGTGGGATTAGCCTACATAGCAAGGACACATTTATTTGTGTTAAATTGGGTCTGGAAGTAAAATTTACTAGCAAACAAACAAAAACGTGCAGAGAAGAAGTTAAATAGCAATATTTCCTGCTTGCTTACTCAAATTCCTGGCTCCCTGTGGTGATATGGAATACTCTCTTGCGTTTCTCACTGTACTCAAAAGCAGTCAGAAATCCTGGTTCCTTGGGGAAGTGTAAAGCAAACAAAATGGGTTATTTGGTTTTAGATGGCTCTAACCTGAAGAACAGTGTGATTCAAGAATTACGCTGTGTTCAAACATCACAAGATACTGAGGTTTGTCCTTGATGAAAAGCAGCTTGTTGCCATGCTCACACACTGCTCTTCCCACCATCCACAGAGCACAATCTTAGCTGTCTGACTCGAGTGTGGGAAGAAATGCAGGCTGGGAGTATGAATTTGAATCAGGCCCCTGCCTGTCTTGGAATCTAAGTTTCAGCCAGGAACACACAGGACATAGGAACAATGGGCCCTTATCAATGGGAGGCCTCCTATGAACCAAAGAATTCTGATATAAATAAAATTAACAGTATTGTTTAATAAACAGAATCCTAACCTTTTCTGCTTGCAGAAGGCACTTGTGTTTGTGGTAGAAGGGGGAGAGAATTTTTGCTGATTTCCCCCTCCCTTTACTAAAGACCCCCACTTTGCCCCCACCCTGTTCTTGGTGGTCCACTGACTCCCAAGGGCTTAATTTCAGGCCTCACTGTAGGTTGCAGAGGTTGAGGGGAGGCAGGGCAGCTCCATTTGCCCTAGTCAGCAGACCACCCTATAGCTATTCTAACACTGCCAGTTGGAAGTGCTTGAAGGATTACTTATAAGTATAAGCAGTAGTTTTGGCTTACTATAAGCTTGTTTGCTGCCTCTTTAATCTTCTCCACTTTGGCCTCTGAAAGTCCCTTCACATTGCATAGTGCCCGTTTTGTTGTCATCTGAATTCCTTTAATTGTACAAATGCCAACCGATTTCAGCTTTTTAATATCAGCCGCATTCTGCAAAAGAAGTAAATATGACCTGAACTCTTGATGTTCATGAATCTGGAAGTTTAATGATGAGATTTTGGATGCTGGTGTTCAGATTATGTTGGATTTTATCTGATTTTTATTGTATTTTGATTGTTATTCTATGGATTTTTTTGCCACCCTGTTCCAGAAAGAAAGATTGGATAAAAATTCTAAAAGTAAATAAAACAAGTGTATACAATAAACATGCATTGGTTTATTGTTTTGGTCTCTAACTTCTTCAGGAAGTAGACACTTGAGGCCAACCTTTGCATAACAGGACAAAATGACTTGTAGCAATACTTCTATGGAATTTTCTAATGAAATGCAGACGAGAATAATCAAAGAAGTGACTATTTCAGGAAAGGTCTTGTTTCTTCGTCAGAATGGACTATGTATTTCACTAGTTCATAGCAGAAATGTGCTTAAAAGTCCCTAATGCTCTAACTCCTAGTTAAGTATTTAAACTTTTCTATGCTTTCTTTGTGCCATATTGAACAAAATGTGGTGTTCAAGGTGGCTTACATATTAGGGTTGCCAGGTCTGGGTTGGGAAATACCTGGAGACTTTGGGGGTGGAGCCGGGAGAGGGCGGGGTTTGGGGAGGGGAGGGGGCTCAGCATGGTGCCATGCCATAGAGTCCACCCTTCAAAGCAGCCATTTTCTCCAGGGGAACTGATCTCTGTCAGCTGGAGATCAGTTGTAAAAGCAGAAGATCCCCAGGCCCCACCTGGAGGCTGGAAACCCTATTACATATCCATGCAAATCGTCATTAAAACAGTAGCAAGATTTTCTGCATAGAGCAAAGAATTGGACTAGATGGCCTCCATGACTTCTTTAACCTCTAGAACTCTGTCACTTCCTTGAATGGGAGTTCCATAGTCATTCTGGGGGAGAAATTCAGTGAGGAGCACACACTCCTCTTTACCAAGAATTCAGGGCTCTCAGTGTGCTTCTGTTCACAGAAAAAGTACAGCTAGAAGTAGATATCAGAACAATTCTTCGGTATCAATAATTTCCCTGTGATCCACCTACATATTCCTGTTCTAAAGTAAGTCTGAGCCCCAAACGTTTTAACTTCTTCATAGGGAAAGTGTTCCAACCCTTTTATCATTCTAGTTGCCCTTTTCTGCACTTTTTTCAATGCTATAATATCCTTTTTGAGGTGTGGTGACCAGAACTGTACACAGTACTCCAAATGAGTGATACTGGCTGATTTGTTTTCAGTTCCCTTCCTAATTATCCCGAGCATAGCGTTGGCCTTTTTTTATTGCAGTTGCACACTGTCTAGACATTTTTAGTGAGTTATCTACTACGACTCCAAGATCTCTCTCTTGGTCAGTCTCTGCCAGTTCAGACCCCATCAATGTGTATTTATAGTTAGGATTTTTGGCTCCAAGGTGCATCACTTTGCACTTGGCCACATTGAACCCCATTTGCCATGTTGACGCCCACTCGCCCATCCTCGACCGATCCATTTGGAGTGACTCACAATTCCCCCTGGTTCTCTCACCACCCTGAAAAACTTCATGTCATCTGCAAATGTAGCCACTTCACTGCTTACTCCCAAGTCCAAATAATTCATGAATAAGTTAAAAAGCATCGGACCGAGTACTGATTCCTGTGGTACCCCACTGCTTACCACCCTCCACTGAGAAAACTGCCCATTTATACACTCTCTGTTTCCTATTAATTAGCCAGTTTTTGATCCACAAAAAGATTTGTCCTTTTATCCCATGACTATTGAGCTTACTCAGGAGTCTTTGATGAGGAACTTTATCAAAAGCTTTCTGGAAGTCAAGGTAAACAATATCTATTGGGTCCCCTTGTCCACATGTTTGTTCACTCCCTCAAAGAACACTAACAGGTTAGTGAGACAAGATCTTCCCTTACAGAACGCATGCTGAGTCTTCCTCAACAGGTTTTGTTTATCAATGTGCCTACTAATTCTTTCCTTAATAACAGTTTCCACCAATTTACCCAGTATCGATGTCAGACTGAATGGCCTGTAATTTCCTGGATCTCCTCTGGAACTCTTTTTAAAGATGGGAGTGACATTAGCTACATTCCAGTCCTCAGGAATGGAGTCAGATTTTAATGAAAGATTACATACTTTTGTCAGGAGATCCACAAGTTCACATTTGAGTTCTTTCAGCTCTCTCAGATGTATGCCATCTGGGCCTGGTGATTTATCAGTTTTTAAGTTGTCTATCAGT